TGCTGAACCAGGTGGCATGCTTACTGAGAATGTGAGCATTCATTAGCGTGAAATCTTGAACTCAAGCATTTACAGAGGCACAAGTGAACAGAGCTGGCATGTGAATTGTCTGCAAACAAATTCACTGAGTGCCGTTTCTAGAACATGCAGCATTTGAGTAATTTTCTAAAAATGTAACATGACTTCATTTTATTGAATAATTACATAGGTCTAAATTGCATTTTATTTATGACTTCTAGGTTGTTGTGGGAGATAAAGTTGTTCTCATGCCAGTCAATGCAGGGCAGCCTCTACATGCCAGCAACATTGAGCTTCTAGATAACCCTGGCTGCAAAGAGGTGAGTTCAGTGGAGGGAGGAGGGGTAACTGCTGATCTGAGATGCATTATACATTGTTCTTTACTGGTAACCAGAACCCACCATGAGCCTGTCATGGGCTAGATGCCAGTATTACACTGGCCTCAAAAAACCCCAAGATTAAATATACTTGTTCTTGGTGCAGTTTGCTTGAGTATCTGAAACTCTCACTGGTGTAAGAGTAAGTCCTCTTCCAACAGCTCTTTAGGTCATCTTTGGTAGGCTGTAAACAGACAGAGTAGCGTTTTGCCCACTGAATCTTCTCCAACATCAACACCATTATTAACACTTGAGAGCTTCAGAACCCGTTTTAGGAACTGTACAAATATGTAGCTAGGCCATGTCCCCTGCCATCCTAGATGCGGTGTGGTCTTTTAGAAGAATAGAATATCTCAAAAAGAAAAGAACACCCCTTAAGACTATAATTGTGGTTGGTTGGTTTGTTTGTTTTTCCCCAAAGGTAAATGCTGTCAACTGTAACACAAGCTGGAAAATAACTTTGTTCATGAAATTCAGTAGTTATCGAGATGATGTACTGAAAGGAGTAAGTATGATTTTTTTTTTATTGTTTTTGAATCTGAAAAATCAAGCCATATTTGACTGTAGAGAAATATTACATGGTGAATAAAAGAAGAAATGAGGACTTCATGGAGCTGTTGAGGATCCCTCACTGCTGTCCTTCAACAGCCAGAATATTTTTCCTTTGTGTTACTGTCTCACTAAGTGAAATTGTTTGGACTGTGCTAGCTTCCAGCCCCTTTCCTCTCCCAGAGACAACTGAGGATCCGTGAGAAAAGATGAAGTTCAAGCCCAGAATGATGAGGGCTCTGTACAGAACAACTGTGACTCTTCAGTTTTTGCCAAGATGCTAAAAGCAGATATAACAAGCTTACAGAAGGGAGTGAGGCATGAAAGATGACAATAGCTGTAATAAGACAATGTAGCTTTAAATGCTGAGGAATTGCACAACTTAGTGTCTCCAGATCACTCCCTGAGATCATTTGCATTTTCATTTTAAAAAAATTTCATTTGTCCTCACTTGTACTTTAATAAGTTGTTGTCAACTGGCTATTTTTCAGTACGTATCAAGGTACCAGCAGTTTTGAGGAAGAATTTGAAAGTGAAAATGGTATATCTGTGTAGACCCATTTGGGGATAGTGTTTCAAGCCTTGGGGAGGGGCAGAAGGAAGCAAAAACTATGCCAGCAGGAGAAATTGAGATGGGGCATTGGTTTAGGTTGCAGAGTAGAAGAGATGAGATAATATGATGTTAGAAAAATCTGTTCACTTTCCCTAAATACCAGGAGAGATTAGAAATAAAAAAAATCCATTTGGTAAAGTTAGCTAGAATGAAAAATCACCTTTAGGTTAATTGTTGCCCACTGTTCACTGCTGTGCTTTGAAACAAGTTCTGTTTTCACAAAAGTGCATGGATCTCCTGCAGGACTGAATTATCTCATTTGATTTCCAGACTCAGTGCTGAGGTTGTATGCTCTGCACTTGGTACCTGCTTCAGCAATAGGAAACTAATAAATGTTTTCTTCACATCAGCTATGTTGACCACACTGGAGCTAGTACAGCTATAAAGGATGAGTCTAGCAGCTTTGTCTGCCACTTAATAAAGATTCTTTTTCATATTACTTTAGGGAGATGTTGTTAGGCTGTTTCATGCAGAGCAAGAGAAGTTTCTGACCTGTGACGAATATGAGAAGAAACAACATATTTTCCTTCGCACTACATTACGTCAGTCAGCCACTTCTGCAACAAGTTCTAAAGCACTGTGGGAAATAGAGGTATTTTTTTCCTTTTATAAATATTTTAAGACCTGAAGGCCAGGGTTCAGTAAAAATACTTTACCACAGCATGAATCATTCATAGCCTCTTGATATCATCGTACACCTCCCCATAACTATTATTATTTCATGAAGCAGTTTGTGTAGGATGAACACTGAAGAGATGCTTTATTGCTGTGTGTGTAGAGAGAGGATGTTTTCTTACTATATTTACCTGCACTAAAATGACGAAGAATCAAATTCAGACTTGACGTAAATGATGCGATTTTATCAAAGCCAATGAATGACACTTATGTATCCTGAGTTCTGAGTGTTTATATTTGACTTCATGTGCAATATAGAAAATTGAAATTCATGACTGACAAATCTCAAAGATGTGATTGAGTCCATTCTTCTGCAACAGGGCACATCAACATCTGTTTAAAGTTAGGCTGAATAAAGGTGTTGTTGCTGAATGGAGGTGATTTTGAGCAGATGACTAGCAAATACATTTTTGTTTAGCTGAGGAACATTGGAAACTGGTATTTCTCAAAACATTGCTATTACGGTAATGTAACTCCTATACCTGAAAGTTCTTATGTGCTGAACAAACTTTGTGTGTTTAAAACAGGGGTCCTCACTCAGGCAAGTGGTTGATTTTTGACTTGAGTAAAGACTATATGGAATAGAGTATATTGCACTTGTGGTTATTTGAGACTACTCTATAAGAGAGACAGGCACTCCTAGGTTTGAAAGTAGCAAATGACCTACAGCTCAGTCAAGGGGAAAAAGAAATAACCTGGAATATTTCAAATGATCCGAGGATATTTTATCACTTGAACAAAAATTTATCAGAAGCCCCTAGTGTTGTCAAAAATAGAGCTGGTATAAGTGGTGAAACAATGTAAGAGAGCTTGAGTTTTGCTTTAAAGTAGTGCCTACTTAAGTGTACAGCAGCTGCACTTACTTTCTTGAGCTCCAGATTTACACTGTGTCACTTTAAAGCAAAATTTGGCTCATCATGTTTGCAGGGAGTAGATTAATGAAAACATGGAAAGTAACAGGAGGAATATTTCCTGGCACCTGGCAAAAAATAATTGTAAATAGTTATCTATGGTGGGCTTAGTGTGAGCACAGAATTCTTCTCTGTGGTAGACTGTTTATAATTATATAGTTTACATATTTTTATTTGGAATAAGCTGTAAGAGAAGTCAGTGATCTAAGTATGATCTTGAGGAGCATGATTAAAATCCATACTTCTTCTTTTAGGTTGTCCATCATGACCCTTGCCGGGGAGGGGCAGGACAGTGGAATAGCTTGTTTAGATTTAAGCATTTGGCAACTGGAAACTACTTAGCTGCAGAGGTAAGAATGTCAATTAAACAAGTGATTGTGTGCTGCCTAACCAAGTACTATACAGCCTGCTAATTCAGAATGCCATAGTAGGTAGAAGATCTCACACCGGGTCTGAATGGGGAGAACTGGATGTGCACTGTTGTGTCATGCTGTATTGTTGTAGCCAAGGGTTGCAAGGAGAGTTTTCTGAGCTACAGGACACGAGTAGGTGAGTTCAAGAGAGCATCTAACCTTAATTTCAGCTGTGCTGTTGAATCTTGAATCTGCTGTAGTCATGGCAGCCAGGGCAAACACTGCTCTTAAATACCCACCATATTTACACTGAAAATCCTTCGATTCCTTTATCTCTATGCTCTTGTTTGCCCTTGATTTTTGGAGTAGTGTTGTGAACGGTCAAATATTCTTCTTTGCTGGCTCAGGCAGCCATATACAGAGTAAAGCTTTTAGAGTGGAACTGAATGCAAGGTAGTAATTGAGCTTGATCAGAGAATTCTATGTGCAAGTGCTAGGACAGATACTCTAAACTGCTCTAATTCAGGAGTTGGCATTCCTTTTTTTTACCTGCAGGCTCTAGACTTCCTGAAAAAATGTTTCTATGGTGCTAATTTCAATGTATTGATCTCTGCCAGCCAGCATGTGGTCCAAGGCATCTCTGTGCTCTGTAGAAACTTGAGGAAGGACAAACTTGTATGTTGGTGTCATGCTAGTACATTGTGATTATAAGCAGATTGCAGCATTCTGCTATTGCACTCTTGTCTTTTGACTAAAATTTTAATAAAAGTTTGAGGAAGTCTTTTCCCTTTTTGATGGAGCAGAATGTCCAAGAGGAGAAGGAAGATCTTGCAATTTGTCTGGTTATTTTCTGGTCCTTTATGTTGAGGCAGAATAGTGATGCAGCTCCCCAAAAGAGCAATTTAATATCTTTTAAGACTGATAAGCGTCCTTAAAAATAAAATACAACTCTTGACAACCTGGAATAGAGCAGATAATACCAAGTTTATGAAATGGGACAGCCTTGGATTTTTTCCTGATTGCAAGAAGCTGTGAACTTCGTACCTAATCCATACTATAACTGGTCTGTGTCCAAGCTGTGTCAGTGGAATGAAAAGTGCTTTTTTTTTCCGACTGATTTGGTTAAGTCTGTGCAGGATTACTTCTTTTGACTTATGCTTGGAAGTATGAGTGTGAAAATTTACAAGAGTCAGTTATAAATCCCTATATGTTAGGGAATCCCTGAAAAAAGACTTGCTCTAACTGGATTGAGTTACCTTTACAGCAGTGCAACTTCTGTATGCAGACAGCTCCTTAGTATTCCCAGGGTGCTGCTTTCACTTTCCAGCTCCTGTCACAGCCTGCACTCATTTCAGAGTAAGAGCAAACAGGAGCTATCAAGCCTGTACTTATTTCTAATTATGTCAAAACCAGTGTCAAAATATAAACAGTGGTCCACCAGGACAGATACTGATACTGTTTTCCATCTAAGACTGAATGTAATTTGGATCTTTTCATTGGTTTTAGCAGTAGCTCATAGTGTAGAAACCTGATAAGCCTGTGTGGCAAAGAGCATCATCCCTTTAAAGGCAGTGGGCCAATGTGTCTTAACTGCTCTGCTCTATGCTGCTGCCTCCATACTGCAGCAACATTTTGGCTTGGCTGAAGCCAGCTGGCTTTATTGTGTAGTTAATATTGGCTAATAATAGCTAATTTTTAAGAGGCAACCAGTACTCCCACCTAAGAGACGGTTCCCTTTTCCTCTCTGCTTACAGTGAGAGATGCTCCTAGTAGACTAGCTAGGCTGATGGAGAGTCAGGAAAGGGCATCAAGCACTCTGATGAGCTTCCTTCTCCAACCAAACTTCATCTGCTCAGGGATTTTCAGGAGAAAAATTTTCAGGTGAAGAGGTGTCACGCTATACTGAATGTTGAACCTGAGCTTAGGTCCTTTCTGCCTCTGGAAAGGAAATCCCCGTCAGGAAAACTTGTAATATGGAGAGTACAGTTGGCACAGTAGAGTGAGAGCTGGAAGAACATTTGGGTTGAACAGAAGTGATATGCTGTGACTGGAGAGCAGTATCTATGAAGTGTAAAATACTGGTGGAGATATTAAAGATACTGCTGTAATAAAAACCTGTGAACTGTATTTTACACAGTTCACATGTCAGGCATAACACACCAGCCAGACATACACGTCAAAGATTTATGAACAGGCAGGCAGATGCATGAGCTAACTTTAAATCAATTGGGGAAAGCTTACTGAACACTTATCTGTGCTCTTGCAACACAGGAAGATTACTCATGGTATGGATTATCAACAGCGTCACAAGTTGCCATGATCTGATTTTGTTTAAGGTTCCATGATAAAGATATCTGGAGTGGAATAATAAGTACAAGCATAAACAAAACTCATGAATCTTTTAGGCATTCTGTTGTTGGCTAATGATACAATTTCTGTCACAGTTTGAGCTATTGTACATCAGGATTGATCGCTGTTTATAACCATCTTTTCCTTCTGTAAATCAGCTTGATGTGTACCATGGAGATTTCTGCAGTGGAATCTTGCATGGGTCAAGTCTCAGACAGTGAGCAGAAGTGTCCTTCATGTGGGTGTCTCCTTTTGCTCTTCTGCAGTTGAGCTTGTACCTTGTGTGAGCAGTGCTGTGCTTTCTCTTTTTCTTTGAGGTTTCATGTGCCAGATGTCACTGGTCAGTCTGATTTGTGACTCGGTGGGTCACTACTGAGCCATGTTGTGAAGGGATGCCATTGCGACTTGTTAAGGCCAGGTAACGATCTGGGGACTAAGAAAATTCAAGACAGTTGCCCTAGAGAAATCAGGAATTTAAAACAAACTTAAAGGAGTTTCAATACTCCAGTAAGTAAGTTAAAAAAAAAAAGTGAGGCAATACAGTTGTTCAGTAAACAAAACATATAGGTGAATACTTGTAAACCTAATTCTTATAAACTTGAGAGAAAGAAGTCAGGATGTGTAAGTCCTAAATTCCATATTCCTAAGAATCACAATCAGTCATCCAGCTTTTGTTACCTTTCAGAGACTCTGACACCTCTGACTTCTGACACAGTCTCAAGTAGTACCATTTCCTTTAATCCTGTTTCCACTTGACATTACTTAGCCTAATTTTCATTAATGTGCTTTGAAGTTCTTTAAGACCTACTAATACCATAAAGCAACCTAGACCCTACTACCAGACTATGGACTGAAGGGGAGCCACCCTGAAAGACCCACTGCTAAAGGAGACCCAGTGGAAGACATCTGCTAATTTCATATACCTGCATTGTCATTCCCCTACTACTGTGCACATCCTGGAGACGTGATCTAACACATCAGATATGTGTGTACTCTCACACAATTACTTAAGGCACAGGAGGGATGTGCTGAAGAAAGGGTTTAGTGTTTGGTGGTAGGACATGGGACATCAGAAATCTGGATAGGTGATAATGTCTCCTGTGTGTCCGGCATTTGACAGCCTGAAGCCACTGGCTCAGACATTCCCAAAACATTGAAGTAATAAAGTGGAACCAAATACTCAGCTGAAAAATTGGAAAGAGAAATTCTCTTCTTTGGAGACAGTGGGAGTTCTGCTGTTAGTGTCAGAAGGGCTTGATTTCACCTAAAAGAGCTGAGCCAGATCCTTAGCAGGAGATTTAGATACGAAGCCACCAGCTAAGATCCAAGCTGCTGAGTTTTATTCTCATCTTCACAGAGCCAGCAGCGTCTTAGAAAAAGTTCAGTAAAAGATTCTTTTTTTAGCTCTGGTTACAGCAAAATGACCCAAGTTATTTTAAAGTTTTATATTTATAAAGAGAGGCTGTAAGGTTAGGTGAAAATTGAATGCCTCAAAGTAACAAAGACTTTCCCAAATTTTTTTTTAGTCTTTTCAGTGCATGTGCCACGTGTAGAACGCACCCAAATCTTCTGTCTGTGTGGGAGCGGGCTGCAATTTGCTCGATCAGCCTTTCACATGCTGGATTGGGACTGCACAGCTGTGCATTTCTCATGAACACACCTAACCTTTTCAATATTCTAATCACCAGGAGAAAAGTCTCTTTGAACTGAATATTGACTTATGGATTGTGCTCAACCAAAACACGCACCTTTAATATTGTTCTCCATGTGTTTAGTAGCTCCGGTTCTGTGATTTCTAAACTGGGTAATCAGTACCAAAACTATTAACGCTTGCTGTATGAGGATGTTAAACGGAAAGATGTGTGCCCCTGCATACATATATGCACACACAAGAAATGTAGTATAAGTCTATTGTATTACACTTCTTGGGTGAGATCGATATTGCTAAAATAATCACAAAATATATATGCGAATATCAAATCACCTGTTAGTCTCAGATACTGCGGCAGACAATAGATAAATCACAGTACGTTGCTTGTGAAACATCATGAACATGTACGTAATCACAGTGCAGAATTTGTAAGGAAAAATCTGTGATAATTCTGTTTTACTTAGCTGAACAGACTAAACTAGAGTTACTAGATGCCTTGGCCAAGATATGACAGTAAATCTGGTGAGGTGATTGTCTTTAACACTGAATTAACTGTACTAAATGCATGAAGATAATACAGGTAAGATGGCAGCCTTAATGTTTACCTTCTGTGATTCTATAAAATTGGCCATAAGCAGGGGTTCAGCTTTTTACTGTGTCTTCCAAGGCAGTGCACAGACTACTGGTGTTGCTCCAAAAGGTCATCTGTACCCTGAAGTTCTTCTGGATGAAAGTGAAGGGTGAGAACAGGCTGGCCAATTCAATAGGTTGAAGCAATGAGCTCAAAGATAATGGCAGAACCAAACATACCTTTTCTGACTTGTAGTGTGCTTCATTCATTAAGCCAAATTGTTGCTCATATAAAGGCTGTCATTCAGTAAAGCTCTTCAGAATGGCCTTCTCTTTGAAGTCAGTGGAATGTGAGCATTTATGCTCTTTAGCATGTGTTCTAGTGATGGACAAGTCACAGAGATAAAGCTGTCCACTAGCTAGCTGC